ATTTGTTTTCTAAACTCAACACGTGCAGAAAATGGCGGTGTGACCAGTTTTGAACACACGGTAAACATATGTTTCATAAAATTATCGATAACTGGCGGAATTTATTTTGAAATTCAAAATAAATTAATTATTTGCAGGTTTAGTGCGCTTTAAATGACATAAAATCCAACTAGATTAACTTCAGAGAAATATTTAAAGAAGTGTAAACTACAAACTTTACGCTAAATACCCTAGGGTGTCATTTTAAATATACTGTTCCCATCAACAAAAAACTGTTCTCATACTTGTAACTGCAATCGATAATTCGATTTGGCGGGGTATTTTAATTGGTTTTAAAAATAGTTTTGTCATAAAAATTGTCATAATTCCATGCCCGTTTACGGTTTGGTTTTTTAACAAATGACGAACTAACACCATTATGAAACAAAACAACAAATAAAATTAAAAAAAAGAAGAAAACAATTCAACACATCTCTTAGGATCCCTTAGCCGAATCACTGCTTAGTCCAAATCCACCTCCACCTGGAGTTTTCATAGCAAAAGTGTCCTGAAAAAACAAAGGTTTTTAAAATACAGAACAAGACAGAAAAAGAAGTCAAAACTTACCCCACCATCGACATCAATACAAGTTTTTGCACCCAAAGCAATAACCCGGCCGTCGCGTTTCACAATCAGGTTGCGTCCACTCTTTCCTGGCTGTCCTCCGGCTAGGCCATAAGGTTGAAGAGTACGCCGCTCCGTTAGTACGGAGAGAGTCACTGGTTTTCGGAATAGCAGATCACGCTCCACGCCCTCGCCACCGTTGAACTGTCCCCGGCCTCCAGAGTCGTCGGTTCTCAGACAGAATCGTTTCAAGATCATGGGATAGCGCAGCTCGAGGATCTCCGGATCGGTAATACGAGTGTTTGTCATATGGGTATGAACCCCACCAGCTCCATGCCAGCCGGGACCAGCACCTGCTCCTCCGGCCACCGTCTCATAGTAGCCCCATGTGTCATCTCCAATGGTAATGTTGTTCATGCAACCTTGGGAGGCGGCACACACTCCAAATGCCTTCAGCACTGTGTCCACAACTCGCTGGGAGGTCTGGACATTGCCCCCCACAACAGCCGCACCCTCAGAAGGATCCAAGATTGAGTTTTTGGGAATGATAACTTTTATGGGCGCCAGGCAACCCTGATTAAGAGGCACATCATGACCCACCATACATCGTAGGCAGTAGATCAGGGCTGACAAAGTGATCCCCCTTGGGGCGTTGCAATTGCCCCAAACCTCCACTCCGGATCCTGTAAAGTCGCAAATTGCCGATCCCTGCTCTGTGTCAATGGTAACTTTCAGGGTAATGGGTGATCCGTCATCCATGAACTCTTGGGCTTCCAACACAGTCGATCCAGTGAGTTCCTGGGTGTCCCGACCAATCTGACGCAGCATGTCCCGCACCGCCAACTCAGCATTCTTCTGGATGTGCGACATGTAGGCCTGAACCACATCTAATCCATAGCTGTCGATCAGTTCTGCCACCAGCTGGATTCCCTTATGATTGGCAGCTATCTGGGCCTTCAGATCGGAAAGATTGTCGCTTAAGTTCCTGGTACCAACGGCTCCCTTGGCGTCAGTAGGTGTGGTCAGGCGCTCTATGATTTGCTTTTCTTGGAAATGTCCATTCTCCACAAGTAGGAAGGACTTGAAAGCGGCACCCTCTTGAGCTAAAGACGTAGAGTGCGGTGGCATAGAGCCAGGAGTGATGCCACCAATATCAGCATGATGACCGCGAGAGGCCACAAAGAAGACAGGATGTGGGAGTTTTCTGAAAAAACAATGTAAGCTACAGCAATGTACTTAAAAATAATTTAAAAAAATTACTCATGAAACACGGGAGTCATGACAGTCAAGTCAGGAAGATGGGAACCACCAGCGGAAGGATGATTGGCCAGAATAACATCTCCATTTTTTAGGGAATCTCCCCGCACTTTCAACTGATACTGAACGGTTTCCTGCATGGCACCCAGGTGGACCGGAATATGAGGAGCATTGCTCACTAGACCACCATCCGGGCCGAAGAGAGCGCAGGAGAAGTCCAACCGCTCTTTAATATTAGTTGAGATGGAAGTCCTTTGCAGGCCATATCCCATCTGTTCGGCGATGCTCATAAACCGGTGACTAAAGATGCTCAAGTGCATGGGATCTAGCTCCGCATTGATGCCATGTTTTCCTCCAGTTTTGACATCCATGATGAGATCTCCGAATGGAGTAACCATAATACCGCATTCCGGTTCCACGACAATGGTAGAGAGCTGATCAATCAAGACTGCCGGCCCAGAGATCTTCTGCCCAGCTAGCAGGTTCTTTGTCAAATAAATGGGAGCATCAAAGCTACCCTCGTCAAAGTGCATACTTGTTTTTCCTTCTTCAGCTGGCTGCGTGCCGTCCTTAGCACTTTGAACTTTAGCCTCTGGAGGTGTCTCATTCTTGCCTAATCCTCGTACACGAATGTCATCCACAATGATGCGCCTGTTTTGTAAAACAAATCCGTACTCTGTCCGGTATCGCTCCAGAAGAGTGGCATGAAAATCTCCATAGGCAGTCAAAAGCGGAGATGAGGCGGAGGTGGCAGCGGCGGCGGATGGCTTTCCCCCTAAAGGGGCACACATCAGAGCTCCATCCGTACCCTCATAGCGAAGATGAAGGAAAGGCTCCAGCTCAATGTTACGGAATCCCTGATCCGCCAACTTGGCATGACATTGTTGCGAGAGAGCATCCAGACGCTCCTTCAGTTGCTGGCCATTTGAATCACTGAACTCCAGACCACTGGGTTCCTGCAGCTCCTGAACCACATCGGCCAGAGCCATTCCATAGGCGGAGAGAATGCCAGCGTACTTATGAATAACAACCTGGTAAATGGTGAAATAAAGTTAATAAATAAGGATCACAAAATATCATATCTGAGCTCACCTTAGCAATTCCCAAATTGCGGGCAATGGCACAGGCATGCTGCCCACCGGCACCTCCAAAGCAGGAAAGCACATGGTTGGCAGTGTCTAAGCCTCTGGACTGGGTTAAAGCCCGAATAGGCCGGCACATGGTTTCGTTGGCCACTCGGATAAAGCCCAGTGCCACCTCCTCAATGCTCAAAACTCGTCCATCTCCAGAGGCTTTCAAGTGGTCGTTGATCTCCTTCTGCAACTCGACGAACTTGCTCTTGGCAATCTCATGATCCAGGGGCTCGTTTTCCTTTGACCCAAAGATCTTGGGGAAATACTGAGGCAGGATACGACCGAGTATAAGATTGGCGTCTGTGACTGTTAGAGGACCGCCCTTTTTATAGCAGGCGGGACCTGGATGAGAGCCCGCCGACTCCGGACCGACCACAAAAACTCCAGAACGGAAAAATAGCCGTGATCCACCACCAGCTGCCACGGTATTGATGTCCAGCTGAGGAGCTTGAATGGTCACTCCAGCGGTGGTGCTCTCAATGACATGCTCATAGCTTCCTGCATACCGAGAAACATCCGTGGAAGTACCACCCATATCGAAACCGATGAGGGGCAGCTCGGTTTCCCGAGCTCCGGTTATAGCGTATCCCACTACGCCCCCAGCAGGCCCCGATAGGATGGCACGGGCTCCCCTGAAGTTCTCCATGTTGATGAGGCCTCCATCCGACTGCATGAAGAGAACATCCACTCCTTCTAGTTGCTTATCAAAACCGGATTTAAAACTGGATAGGTAGGAAATAGAAAGGAGAAATAATGTAGAACTTGGCAACGATCTTTATAAATCGATACCGAGTGGACCGGCTAATTTATAATTCCAGATTAGAGATACTCACTCACCTGGCCAGGTAGCGGTCTACATGTGGCGTCAGGTAAGCCTCAGCACAGCCGGTGTACCCGCGGGCCACCACCCGGACCATGGGCATAGCCTGGTGGGAGAGTGTCACATGGCTAAAGCCCAGTTCCCGTGCAATAGCTCCCACTCGGAGCTCGTGCTCCGGACAGGAATAGCTGTGGGCCAATACCACGGCCACGGAGGAGACACCCTGCTCCCGGGCAGCTGCGAGCGAAGCACGTACAGCTGTTTCATCTACTGGATGCGCCTCTAGATACTTGGAGCCGGCCACTCCCTCTAAAACCTTCCATTTATGATCTGGAGAATTCATTTACATAAACGTGGATATTTGGGAAATATATATTCTTACCCAGTTGGCAGCGTTTCTTCTGCTCTGGAACAATACGGCAATCCACTTCCACCACGGACTGGTAGAGATTCGCTGGCTTACGGATGTTTAGATCAAAGATTTTGGGACGAGCCTGGTTGCCAATGTAGAGGAGGTCTCGGAAGCCACTGTTGACTACCAAAACCACCGGATCTCCCTTTCGTTCCAGCAGAGCGTTCGTGGCCACTGTTGTGCCCATGCGCACCCAGCCAATCTTCGAGGTGTCCACCAGGCCACTGGCCGCCAGATCCTCATCAGTCTCCTCCTTGAGAATTCGGCGTATGCCCTCGCGAGGGGCATCGCTGTAGCGTTCTGGATCCTCGGAGAGCAGTTTCATGGTGCGGACCTTGCCGCCGGGACAAATGCACAGGACATCGGTGAAGGTGCCGCCGCGATCGATGGCAAAGCAGTATTTGTTTCCGGACATTATTTCTTGGTTAGGTTTTTTTTGTTCCGGAGGCCGGGAGACTGAATGGCAAAGATGTCTTTTATGATTTGGGCCCGAAAGGAGCACCCGCCATACCACAAGAGATACTCGGGTGTGGGTTGTGAGTTTATGAGCCAACATTGGAACTTTTCCGCGGTGATCTGTGCTCTGGAGGTTCAACAAACCAATAACACAATTTTCCAAAAATTTCATAGAGTTTCTCGTAAATGTCAGGAAGTTTACGGCATGCTCCCTGATATGTGGCACAATCTTGAACTAGACTACCGCTGATTCCCATTGGAGAAGCAACTCCAGCTGGCGGATTAAGTAACTTCGTGGGCTTAATTTAATTAAAACATTTTATTTCATAAAATATTCCCTTTTAGAGGACTTTAACAAAAAACAGAAATATACTGCAAATAATATGGCACAAAAAGAAACATATATGAAAAAACTGGAATCTAAGCGGATTCTTGGGCCTGCAAATAGTTGAAAACAGTTCCACGCTCAACAAATCTCTTGGTACTATCCTGGTTAAGACCATCAGAACCCTTAGATTCGCTGCTTGATCCAAATCCACCGCCGCCGGGAGTTTTCATAGCAAAAGTGTCCTGAAAAACAAAGGTTTTTGTTTAATCCAGACTGAGATCGTAAAGGATCGAAAACTTACCCCAGCATCGACATCAATGCATGTTTTTCCAGCCAAGGCAATAACCCGGCCATCCCGTTTCACAATCAGGTTGCGTCCACTTTTTCCAGGCTGCCCTCCGGCTAACCCATATGGTTGAAGGGTTCGCCGCTCCGTTAGGACGGAGAGAGTCACTGGTTTTCGGAATAGCAGATCACGCTCCACGCCCTCGCCACCGTTGAACTGTCCCCGGCCTCCAGATTCGTCGGTTCGCAGACAGAATCGTTTCAGGATCATGGGATAGCGAAGCTCGAGGATCTCCGGATCGGTAATGCGAGTGTTGGTCATATGGGTATGAACCCCACCAGCTCCGTGCCAGCCGGGACCAGCACCTGCTCCTCCGGCCACCGTCTCATAGTAGCCCCAGGTGTCATCTCCAATAGTAATATTGTTCATGCATCCTTGGGAGGCGGCACACACTCCAAATGCCTTCAGCACTGTGTCGACAATGCGCTGGGAGGTCTGGACATTCCCCCCAACAACGGCAGCCCCCTCGGAGGGATCCAGGATAGAGTTCTTGGGAATGATAACTTGAATGGGCGCCAGGCAACCCTGATTAAGAGGCACATCATGACCCACCATGCATCGCAGGCAGTATATTAAGGCCGATAAAGTAATGGCCCTGGGGGCATTACAATTGCCCCAAACTTCCACTCCGGAACCTGTAAAGTCGCATAGTGCCGAACCTTGCTCCGCATCGATAGTAACCTTCAGGGTAATGGGTGATCCGTCATCCATGAACTCTTGGGCTTCCAACACAGTCGATCCAGTGCGTTCCTGGGTGTCCCGACCAATCTGACGCAGCATGTCCCGCACCGCCAACTCAGCATTCTTCTGGATGTGCGACATATAAGCCTGAACCACATCTAATCCATAGCTGTCGATCAGTTCTGCCACCAGCTGGATTCCCTTATGATTGGCAGCTATCTGGGCCTTCAGATCGGAAAGATTGTCGCTTAAGTTCCTGGTACCGACGGCTCCCTTGGCATCAGTGGGTGTGGTCAGGCGCTCTATGATTTGCTTCTCTTGGAACAGTCCATTCTCTACGATAAGAAAGGACTTGAAAGCGGCTCCCTCTTGAGCCAGGGATGTAGAGTGTGGTGGCATGGACCCAGGAGTAATGCCACCAATATCAGCATGGTGACCGCGAGAGGCCACAAAGAAGACAGGGCGTGGGTTGTTTCTAAAAAGACAATTCGAGAATTAAATATATTTCTCTAGTGTAATTACAGATTACTTACTCATAAAAGACTGGAGTAATGACAGTCAAGTCAGGCAGGTGAGAACCACCAGCCGAAGGATGATTGGCCAGAATAACATCTCCATTCTTCAAGGAGTCTCCGCGCACTTTCAACTGATACTGAACAGTTTCCTGCATGGCTCCCAGATGAACAGGAATGTGAGGAGCATTGCTTACCAAACCGCCATCCGGGCCGAAGAGAGCGCAGGAGAAGTCCAACCGCTCTTTAATATTAGTTGAGATGGAAGTCCTTTGCAGGACACGGCCCATCTGCTCCGCAATGCTCATAAAACGATGGCTAAAGATGCTCAAGTGCACAGGATCTAGCTCTGCATTAATGCCATGCTTTCCTCCAGTTTTGACATCCATGATGAGATCTCCAAATGGAGTTACTTCGACACCGCACTCTGGCTCCACAACAATAGTGGAAAGTTGATCAATCAACACTGCTGGTCCGGCTATCTTGTGTCCAGCCAGCAAGTTCTTGGTCAGATATATGGGAGCATTGAAGCTTCCTTCGTCGAAGTGGATGTGAGTAGTTCCTTCTTCAGCTGGCTTTGAGGAATCCGGGGCACTCTGCACCCGTGCCTCTGGAGGGGTGTCATTCTTGCCTAATCCTCGTATACGAATGTCATCCACAATGATTCGTCTGTTTTGTAAAACAAATCCGAACTCAGTCCGGTATCGCTCCAGGAAAGTGGCATGGAAATCTCCATAGGCAGACAAAAGAGCAGACGAAGCGGATGAGGATTGCTTTCCGCCTGAGGGAGCACACATCAGAGCTCCATCCGTACCCTCATAACGGAGGTGAAGGAAAGGCTCCAGCTCAATGTTACGGAATCCCTGATCGGCCAACTTGGCATGACATTGTTGCGAGAGAGCATCCAAACGCTCCATCAGTTGCTGGCCATTTGAATCACTGAACTCCAGACCACTGGGTTCCTGCAGCTCCTGAACCACATCGGCCAGAGCCATTCCATAGGCGGAGAGAATGCCAGCGTACTTATGAATAACAACCTGGTAAATGGTGAAATAAAGTTAATAAATAAGGATCACAAAATATCTTATCCGAGCTCACCTTAGCAATTCCCAAATTGCGGGCAATGGCACAGGCATGCTGCCCACCGGCACCTCCAAAGCAGGAAAGCACATGGTTTGCAGTGTCTAAGCCTCTGGACTGGGTTAGAGCCCGAATAGGCCGGCACATGGTTTCGTTAGCCACTCGGACAAAGCCCAGTGCCACCTCCTCAATGCTCAAAACTCGTCCATCTCCAGAGGCTTTCAAGTGGTCGTTGATCTCCTTCTGCAACTCGACGAACTTGCTCTTCGCAATCTCATGATCCAGGGGCTCGTTCTCCTTTGGCCCAAAGATCTTGGGGAAATACTGAGGCAGGATACGACCGAGTATAAGATTGGCGTCTGTGACTGTTAGAGGACCTCCTTTCTTATAGCAGGCGGGACCTGGATGAGAGCCCGCCGACTCCGGACCGACCACGAATATTCCAGAACGGAAGAAAAGCCGTGATCCACCACCAGCTGCCACGGTATTGATGTCCAGCTGAGGAGCTTGAATGGTCACTCCAGCGGTGGTGCTCTCAATGACATGCTCATAGCTTCCTGCATACCGAGAAACATCCGTGGAAGTACCACCCATATCGAAACCGATGAGGGGTAGCTTCGTTTCCCGAGCTCCGGTTAGAGCGTAGCCCACTACGCCCCCAGCTGGGCCCGAAAGGATGGCACGGGCTCCCCTGAAGTTCTCCATGTTGGTGAGGCCTCCATCCGACTGCATGAACAGAACATCCACTCCTTCTAGTTGCTTATCGAAACCGGATTTAAAACTAGATAAGTATGAAAAGGGAAAAAGATTTTAATCAAGTTTTGGGCTTTCGTATTATTCAGACCACCACTGTAGATGACAAGGCAATCAGTGAGAGTGTGAATTTGTTGGTATACCCTCCAGTTGTTGGAGAACTTTGGGTATATGATGATTAGATAGTTGGGGGCTTTGAAACCACACTCACAACTCATAAACTACAGTATAACTTTTCAACACCTTTTATAATTCAGGAGAGAAGTGATCCTATTGTTCCTATGAGATAGAGTTGAAGATGTTTCACCAAGACTTCTAATTATAACTACAAGTAACATGGACTACTAAGTATCCCAAGTTCCTCATACCTTTTTTAAATAACACGTTGTTATTCTCACTATGTTTATATTACGCAATTCTATGGGGGATCTCAGCTTTGAATGTTTGTTTTGTTTGGTTTCTAATCTAATTTTTATACCGACTCCTAACTTATCTTTATGACGCTTTTCCCCGCCTAGACTATAACTCTTTTCTTTGCCCCATTAAAATATAGCTAACTCATTCTGTTAATTTACAAACCCAGATTAGATGCACCAGACTCACCTGGCCAGGTACCGATCCACATGGGGAGTCAGGTAGGCCTCAGCACAGCCGGTGTATCCGCGGGCCACCACCCGGCACATGGGCATGGCCTGGTGGGAGAGTGTCACATGGCTGAAGCCCAGTTCCCGGGCAATGGCGCCCACCCGGAGCTCATGCTCCGGACAGGCATAGCTGTGGGCCAAGACCACGGCCACGGAGGAGACACCCTGCTCCCGGGCAGCTGCAAGGGAAGCACGTACCGCTGTCTCATCCACGGGACGCACCTCCAAATACTTGGTGCCGGCCACTCCCTCTAGAAGCTTCCAGCTTTGATCTGAAGAATTGATTTATGTAAGCGATGGACTGCGATTTCAGGCGGGGAAATATATATTCTTACCCAGTTGACAGCGTTCCTTCTGCTCTGGAACAATACGGCAATCCACTTCCACCACCGACTGGTAGAGATTCGCCGGCTTTCGGATGTTCAGATCAAAGATTTTGGGACGCGCCTGGTTGCCAATGTAGAGGAGGTCTCGGAAGCCACTGTTGACTACCAATACCACCGGATCTCCCTTTCGTTCCAGCAGAGCGTTGGTGGCCACTGTTGTGCCCATGCGCACCCAACCAATCTTTGAGGTGTCCACCAGGCCACTGGCCGCCAGATCCTCACCAGTCTCCTCCTTAAGAATGCGGCGTATGCCTTCGCGAGGAGCATCGCTGTAGCGTCCTGGATCCTCGGAGAGAAGTTTCATGGTGCGGACCTTGCCGCCGGGACAAATGCACAGGACATCGGTGAAGGTGCCGCCGCGGTCGATGGCAAAGCAGTATTTGTTTCCGGACATTATTTCTTGGGTAGTTTTCCTTTGTTCCGGAGGGCGAGAGACTGAATGGCAAACAAGTGCCACATGTCGTTTATATACATCAGGTAGACGATTCTATATTCTATGTTCTCTTCAAAGCTTTCGGCTCTGAGAGCTCTTACAGCTTTCTTAGCTTGTGAGAAGAATTGTTGTGATCAGCTGTTAAAGAATTCTTCTCAGTTTGAGCGTGCAAGCTCGCTCTTTAAATAGGAAACGATCTAAAATTTGTACATCTAAGAAATAATCTACATAATTCATAATACCATTCATAATAATTCATAGTATATTGACCTTTCTTTCCTTAAATTACTTTAAAGCTTTCACACAAAAATGATAAAAATGATTAATTTTTGAAATATTTTCATTTTCTCTTTATTAGATTGGTTTTTAATTGTAAATTTATGCAATTTCACGAAGCATAAAATAATATTTCGCACATAAATCGAGAGTTTATTCAGCTAAATTAATTCCTTTGTCATTTATTCGATTTCACCAATAAATGTCGAATTTAATGCTTTAATTTCGCAAATGTCCCTGCGCTCTGGCTTATTTTTACAATATTGCCACAAACCAAGCACTTGTCTGACATAATTCTGTGTGGCATCCAGCCAGTGAACCCCTCAGATAGTTTGACCCACCCAACCTATTGAACCGAAATGCTCAAATTTCCCGATTCATTGATGGGACCCGCAACCCATAAATATATGCAAATGCATGTTTTATCTGTTTTTTACTTCACAGCAATGAAATTTGATGACTTATTAAACGAGGCCATAAAGAGCGCATTCCGTTTTCCTGGCAAAATACACACTGAGGCAGGGCAGTAAGTCAAGACAGTGCCAGTATCCAGTATCAGTATTGGGAGTATCGTCCTTTGGGGCGCAATTGTTTGCCAAACTCGGCCGTATCAATCCGGGTTGTCGATATGCGATTGCAATGGCGATTGCTATTCCCAGTGGAAACGTTCAGATTGTTTCTTGCCACCGTTACGACTCCTAATGCCCGTGTCCTGAGGCTCGACAGGACCTCCACTCCGTACCACAAGTGACAGGCGCCGGGTGTAGGCGGCGGAGTTTATGCGCGAACATTGATGGCACTTTTACGACCATTGGCTTGGTTCTCTGTGCTGGGTGCTCTGTGATGTTCAACAAGCCGAAAACACAGTTTCACACAAATTGCCTAGAGTTTCCCGTAGACATGAAATTGTGGACGAAATTTCGAAAACGTCTGAGGAAACATTACTGGAACTGGTACAACAGCAAAAGGTCAAAGCCGAATCAAAGGCCGATACCAACGGAGAATGAACTCTGGCTGGAGTATTATGCCGATTACCTTCACATCTGGCCCTTTCGGGAGCTCTGTTCCAGATTGGAAACGAATACGGTTCGGGTAATTATCAGTGCTATTGATTGTTTTAAAAATCAAGCAGCTACATATATCAATTGGTAACCACAGGGCCTGACTGACGATGCTGCCAGGATGAAGCTGGCCCGTAATGGCCAGAATGCTCTGCCGATTAAAACCAAACATACTCCATACATTTTGAAATTGGCCAGACACTGTTTCAGCATATACGGCGTACTACTGCTCCTGAGTGCCATAGCCTGTTTCATCCTCTTTATTTGGTTGAAAAAAAATTCCACTGACGGTTGTTTTGAATATTTAGCAACCAGTTGCATACTCTTCTTCACTTTTGTTCTTTATGGATATTTGCAAAAGTTGCAGGAAATCGATACCGAACCCTTGGTCACGGCCTTCGAGGATTTAGTTCCCAGGTATTGCACCGTGATACGGGATGGCGAAAAGGAGATCATTCTCACCGAGAAGGTGGTCATGGGCGACATCGTGCCGATCAGTTATGGACAGCGCCTTCCCGCCGATTTGCGATTCTTCAACTGTTTCGGCTTGGAGGTCAATAATGTGGCCTTGACCGGGTATACGGATCCTTTTCAGATTATTCCTTTGTCAATCGATGGCCGCCAGTCGCGGTACTCAACGCAAATTTATTAAATTGTATATTCAAATTTTAAATAAAATAAATTAAAACAAAACCATTGATTCTTGTGTCAAGCCGGTAGTCCTTAATGTTAAAACTTCCTCAGAAATGCCGTCATCAAAATGGGAGGCTCACAATGTGGGCTTAGCCTGCAGCCATGCCATGAAAGGATATGCCTATGGAGTGGCCATCGCTTGTGGAAAGGACACGGATGTCGGCAGGATGGCGGAGCTGAGCTTTCAAAAACGTCCCACTACACGAGTGGCAAAGCATCTACGACAGGTAGGATGCGGAGATATTAATTAAAATACTTCCTTTTTAAACTCTCCTATTAGTTCAGCTACTATATGATCCTGGTGGTAGTTGTGTGTATAACCACGATCTTCTACACCATTTCGTTTAATGCCGTCCAGATGGGACTACAGGTGAGTCTGTCCCTGCTGCTGGCCTTAATGCCACTTTTTTTGCCTCCGCTGCTGTGGTGGGGCCTGTGGTACACCAAGAATCGAATGTTGAAGAGGCAGTGCTTAGTGCAGAACCTGCATACTGCCAGCACAGTGGGCCTCACCACGGTAATCGTTAGCGATAATATTGGGACATTGACCCGCCGCCAGATGCGCGTTACGGAGATCTTCGTGAACATGGTACTGGTGAGCAGCGACGAACCAAATATCGACGACATGGGTGATCCGTTCGATGAACTGATCAAGGCTTTGATCCTTTGCAACGATGCCTATGTCACCCCGGGTCAGATTGGAGTGCCCAAGCTCAAGAGACTGCTGTATGGGAATATGTTCGACATGACCCTGCTCAGATACGGCATGCAATTCATATCGGATATCGATAAGCTTCGTCGGGACTACGAAAAGGTGGCCAGCAAGCTATACCCAGACTCGGAACGCCTGCACGTGACGGTGCACAAGGTGGTCGATGAGGATGGCCAGCCCAAGCTCATTCTGCTGATGAAGGGTCACTGCGACGTGGTACTTCGCCGCTGCTCCAGCATCATCGTTGACGACCAGGAGCTGCAGCTGGACACTGTGATGTACGACATCATCTCCAATTTGTCGGATAGTCTCGTGGAGTCGGGACGTCATGTCCGGGCATTTGCCTATAGGGACATAGACCGGGAGGTGGAAGTCCGTCGCTTTTCACTAATACACGGAGGTGCTAGGGATACGGATTCCAGGTACCGCGACTATATGGCTGTAGACACGTTCAACTTGAGATTTTTGGGTATGGTAGCCGCCCATTATCCACCAAGGAGTACCATTAGAAACGCCGTCAGCAGGTGCCGCACGGCTGGCATCAAAATCGTCATCGTCACCAGCCAGAGACCGGAAAATGCCAAAGCCCTGGCCATAGATGTGGGAATCCTTGGCGAGACGATGTCCGTTTTCCACAGCGATCCGCGAATGACCATAATAGATACCAGTACAGATATAGTGGACATGATGGAATTTGTGGGACTCAAGCCCAACCACCAGAAGTGGCAGATGGAGCAGCTGCTCCTCAGCCAGCGGGACTTGGTGTGTGCCAACTGCACCGTGGATCAGCATTACATGATTGTGGATGCCTGCAACCGAATGGGCGCTGTGGTCTCCGTAATCGGTTACAGTCTCCATCACACTCCGGTGCTGCAAAGGGCAAATGTGGGCGTGGCCAAGTTTGGAGGAGCCATCACCTGCGATGCTGGGGCCGATGCCATCCTGAGGGACGGCTCCTTCGCCAGCTTGGTCGGTGTCATCTCCCTGAGTCGCCTGCTGTTCGAGAACATGAAGAAGGCAATGGCCTACAGTCTTTCTACCAATATGACCTTCCTTTTGGTCCACTTTAGCTTTTTTCTGATCAAGCTGCCCTTTTGGATTCGCGTCATGTCCGTCTTTATTATACAATTTATTGTGAATTTGGTAAGCATGGTGATTGATATGAGAGTCCTTGCAATCTAATATCCTTTTTGGTAGATCCCGGCCGCTTCCCTCATTCTGGAGTATGCTGAAGAGCATCTGATGATGCAAAAGCCCAAGGTCTACGATGACTATTTAGTCAATAGACGGTAAGTTGTTGATACTAAAAGAATAACACTTTATTTTTTAAATCTAAACTTTAGACTACTATTTGTAACACATATTTTGGTGGGACCTATTGAAGCCGCAGCTGTTTTTATCCTGTACTTTAAATACATGGCCCATCGGGGATTCATACCCAAGTCGTTATACGGCCTAAACTACAGGTGGTATGACCCGAGTGTGGATGATATCATCGATACTTATGGCCAGGAATGGGTAAATTAAACGGAAACTACGTCTTCATGACTACAATACTATGTGATATTTTGCAGAATTATGCCAGTCGCATGAAGCTTGACAATCAAGTGGGTATCGTAGTCCTGACGTGCCTCATCATGATGCAATCCTTCAATCTATTGCTGTCCAAGACAGCTCGTGCCAATGTACTGACACATGGCTTCGACAACATGGCGTTAAATGTGGCCTTCTTGTTCCTCATAGGACTCATCATCTTTTTTAATACCGTGGAACTACCTGATTTCTTTTGTTTGGCACAGATCGATAGGTCTGTTTTGCATCAAAGGACTATAGTACTTATATTACAAATGACTTTCTATATTCCAGTTGGCTCATGTTCTTCTTTTGGACCATCTGGCCGTTTGCTACTTTATTGATTGTGATTGAGGCTTCTCGCCGATACTTTTTAAGGATGTTTCCGGAGAGTTGGCTGGCAACTTTGACGAACTACTGAGTAAAGGACTTTTGCTAAAATGTGTGACTTTAGCCGTAAACTTTTTATAATCCATACCTCTGACATTGTGTGGCTCGTAAAGCCCTGGTTAGGAATAAAAAATCTCAGCACTCCTGAAAATAATAGTGATATTCAGTCTGCGGAGAGTGCATATTCCTATGATTTTTTTATGCCGCCATAAAGTTTTTATCCACCCCAGAAAAAAGTCCTTAAAAGTCTTTATTTTTAAAATATTGCATTTTATTTGTGAATAGCTCGAAGCTGTGGTTCGTGGTGGTAGTGGTGGTTGTGGTGTTTTGGAGGCGTTTTTTGTGTATTTTTTTTTTTGGTGGTTGTGGTGGTTTTTAGGCTGCCCGTTTAAGTGGGTTTTTAATTATTTAATTTGAATCGCATACTTGGCATCTACATTTAATGACATGAGTAGGACTTTTCACGGATTTTGCTTTCTTTGAACATCAATATTTTACTTTAACGTTACTTTTTACTATACGCTTGTAAATATTCGTTTTTTTTTAAGATTTTCTTTTTTTTTTGGTTTTTGTATTTTGATTAAACTTTCTGTGAACATTTATTGAATAATGTTTTGTTATTGTATATCGGTTATCGCTATGTAAGTACTATGCGGGGCTGTGCACTGTCAACAAAGTAACTGGGGGCGCTAAGGTGATTCCTTCTGAAAGTTAGGTGGGTGCCGGAGATTTTGGGGGGAAATCTAGCTAAACTCAGACCAGAGACCTTTCCATACACTATCCTTAGGTGCGTCGTTATATGTACTATTATAGCTTAAACAAACAATATATATAACTCTCTAGGCGATCGCGGTTTTCGATGTCCTGAAACTGTCCGTTCTAAAACTGAAACCGAACTATCTATCATATTCTATCAGCTGCTTGTGGCTCTTCATCTCAGGGGACTCAATATGGCTGAATCAATCAATCAATCAATCAATCAGGCAACTGAAGCTGAAGGCGGTGGGATCTCTCTGATCGGGGTTTCTACCTCAACTGTCTGTCTATACTTTTTCTAAACTCTCTCTGTTTTTTTGCGATTTGACTTTGTCTTTTGGTTTTGTTTGTGTTTTTTTTTGTGGCTTTTAAAATACTTTAAAATTATTGTATTATCTCTTTAATTTAGTAGTTTGGTTTGGTTTAATCTTAAGTTAATATAGATTTAAGTACACACATATATATTTGTTTCTGTATATGCTTGTATACGTGTTCGCATGTATTGTATATGTATATATATATATATATATATTTTATGGTACTCGTGTTTTTTGGTATCTGCATTCGCATTCGTATTTTTTTTGTGTGTATATTTTAGTTAAAGTAATTTGTTTAAAGTAATTGCGTTTACATTTATTACTATTGAAGTTTTTCTTGGTTTTTCTTTTCTTTAATTTGACACTAATTTTAGGTTTCAATTTGTTTAAAGTTTTAAATCTGTTCTATTAAATCGAACATTTTTTGTGGGGATCTGCAGTGGATCAGTGGAAATAAAACATCTCATTGCAAATAGACTCTCCGTTTATTCTCTGTAAAAAATAAAATCGTGTAGCACGAGCTCGAGATTTCGCTCAGATAAGTTCACAGTTAGTCCCTAAAGATCGGTACGTTTATATAAATAGCCTTACTACATTGAAAAGTACCCAACAACTACACAAACATCGTATGTGTCCCGTTCCCGGCATCCCGAGGCATCTCTGGAGCCGTCATGTGGGTGCGGGTAGTCGTCGGTCAAATCGGACTCGGTCCGCTGCCGGTGGTGGGCAGCCGCAGGTGGTGCAGGTGCAGGTCACTGGGTTAGACGCCCTGGGCGAGGCTCTCCTTGGGCAGGGCCAGGATCGGCTGGTCCACCGCCTGGTGCGGAATGATGAACGGCGAGGTCAGCATCTGCAACGGCCTGCACAAACGGAATCATTTATAGACGCCCATTTCCACTCCCCGTCCCATTCCAACCAACTTCCACTACCATTGGTAACCTGGGAACATGGAAATTGTATATGGGTTTTGGCCAACTCACTCTGCGAAACTGGTCGCTGTGACCATCGGCTGCCGGACCGAGTGAAGGGCCTGCGAGTTCTTGGCCCGGGCCAGAAGGCTCATCACGGTGCGCTTTGTGGGATTCATTCCGGATCGGGGAACGCCCAGCAGCGGTCGCTTCCTGCCCAGGCCGCCACCTGGTACACAAAGAAAAACAAAGAGATACCTATATAAACACATAGTTCTAAAGTTTTGAAGGAAAAACAGTTTTTTTTTTTCAGTGAAAAAATCAAGATTAGTAACGGCTAAGGCCCAACGCTTCTCGTCCACCACACTCACCTATGTTGATGGTCTTGACGTTGCGCAGTGCGGGATGCAGGAGAGCGGTCCCCGGGGGCTCCAGCAGGGTCAGCGTGGATGTGGCCGCCCCCTCCCCGTCGCCGGGCAATTGGAGAGCCGTGCCACTCGCCTGCGTGGTGGGCAGCCCGGCCATGGTGGCTCCGACTCCGGTGGCCGGCTTTAGGAGTCCTCCGATTCCTGCGGCTGTCAGCTGATGCTGCAATGCCACCGCCATGGCTGTGGTGTGCACTGGATGGATTGACGGCGGAACAGGACGAAAAGAATGGAATGAGTGGCAGCTGGGGGATTACTTCGAACGAGTCTTTGTTCTGTCTTTGGCAATGGAGATTTGCTATACCCTTTCGGGATAATTAAGAGTCTATTGTCTTCAAATATACCCAGACTTGAAATATTTGTTAAAAATTACTCATACGCCATGTATGTTAAAGAATCTTGTATGGCAACACTGCGTATGAGTGATAAACTCTAAAGAATATCAAAGAATCCCCTTTCAGATAGTTAATATTCAAATAATACTTGATAAGTATATCCTGTACTAAACCTGTATACCCCCTAATACCCTAGAAACCGATAATCCATGGTCTTTGCTTGCATTGACTCTCCAACGGAGATGGGATTAAGTTCCCTGACTTTTGCAGGCACTTTGTCAATGGAAGCAGTAATTTCCAATTAATACCCAGACTAAACCACTGCTGCCGAAGAGAAGTCCACTTACGTGCCGCCGCCGTCGCCGGTGTCGCCTGTCCCGAGAGATGCTCTCCGCAGGCAGCCGCTGCCGCTGCACTGGCTCCGCCGTGGGCCTGCTGCAGCAACTGGTGGAAGTGCGTCTGGTGGCTGTGGTGGTGTGCCGCCTGCTGGTGTTGATGTTGCTGCTGCTGGTGGTGTCCATGGGCGTGGGTGTGGGCGTGCTGGTGCGGGTGGGTGTGATTTGAGCTGGCGGTGCTAATGCTGGCTATGCCGGTGATGGCCAGACTACCGCAGGTGGGCGAGCACTCGAGCTTGTCGACGGTGGACAGGCACTCCATGCCGCTGGCGTCGTTGTCCGATTTGTCATCGTTGGACGTGTCCATGTCGGCCAGTCCGCCGCCCAGGCCACGTCCACTGGAGCTGCTATTCGAGTTGCCAGCATTGATCCCCGCCCCCGAACCGGTGGCCGTGTTACTTGTATTAATGGTAGGACTGAGTGAGTCGTCCAGCGAATGGGCACCGCCCATGCCGGGCGTGGACGTGAGCGCCTGCATCTCCCACATCTGTTCCTGGCGGATGTCGTCGTGGTAGTCCTGCGGGCATATAAAATACATAGTGGGATTAGCCCAGGATGGTGCCGGGGATGTCCCATCGTTCGTGGGAGCAATTAAATTTAATTCACGTTTCCCTGGCCGCCGTCGCTGGCAATAAATGCGAATTTTATTGGATGTCAATTAAAAGTTTGTGCGCCACGTTTCATGTGTCGCGTGTTGCCCACGGAGTACCCTTTGAGCAGATTCCATTTTCTGCCCGCCCCAGGATACATGTACACTAAATAATATAATATATATATATATATTTTTTTTTAGGGTGGTACTCTAGGTGTATGCTTTAAAAGCTACCCATACTCATTGTATTACAACGAGGCTATTCGTTTTAAAGGTTAAACTAATTATTTCTCTGTCAACACTGCGTATGCGTGATGGACCTTAAAGCCATTGTGCAACCTACTTTTCTCATTAGAGAACCTTGTTATTAAACAAGGTTCACTTTAATTCACCCATATCTCCTATATACACGCATCTGTGTATCTGTGAGTGCTTAATGCAATTATGCGAGTGGTGGTATTGCGGGTGAGGGTGTGAGAACGATTCAAAGGATACAGGCTGGCACAGGCACAGGAAACTCTGGATACACATTTCATCAACCCCATTAACCGACTAACTCGTTTATGAATATATATCTGAATTCGCAACAAAATCGCGCTCCCGCAACACATGTATCTGTGAAGAGCTCCTTTTCCTATTTCCTGTTCCTGTTCCTCTTTTTTTTTTTTTTATTTTTTTATAACCTATCCCGTTCCCAAAGAACTGTCACATAAGGCAGCGTTTTTATGGCACTCGCTGGCAAAACATAAATCGTGATTGCAGATGCCATAAACAATTTCCCGCCAGGTGGGTGAAGCTTAAATATGTCACAGATGAGATTTGCAAGGACTCCCAGCACACAACCACCTCATGAGTGTATATATAAAGCCCAACAATTTATCTAAATTGAAACAGTTTCTTCTTTCGACGCCTTTGTCTCTATCGCCTCCTGTGTTGAAGATATCAAATAATTTCTATGCAAATTTTCCAACGTGTGTAATCGGATCGGAATAACTCAGAGGGGGAAATTGTGCATCAGGAGACATTTTTGATGTTGCCAGCAGCCGGCAGTCGAAGGCAGGCCAGGATGTCAATATATTAGATTACCCAAACTCCATTCAAACTCCGAGCCACACAAAATCCGAACTCATCCCCTCAAGCCTCAACAAAAAAGGGGGGGAATGTGGAAAATATGCTTAAACAATGTGGCTTAGGTGAGAATTGAATTTTGTGGGAAATTATAGATCAAAAGCTGGGGTCTCAGAGCATAATTTTCCATTGCGCTCATTTGTGATTCCCCTTGCCGTATTATACCGCCCAGCTCTACTCCAGATATACGGATATATACGGGCATTCCGTTTAAATTGTTCCATGTCCAATCCCCACATTTCTGCCTGCATCTTAAAGAAGATATATAAATAAAGTATGCCGGGTAGCTGGGCAAGTGTGGATGATGCCCAGGACGTGCCGTGGCCCAGAAGTCTACCAATCGCCCGGTCTGCTGGCTACAGATAGTAAACGGTTAACATTTGTGTCTCAAGTTGGGATGGGAGTTCCAACCAGGAGAGGGGTGAGCTTCATCCCCGACACTCTCACACAGAGACTCCTGTACGTATGTATGGATATATACGTATGTATGCATGTACATCCAATCCTTGCCACCAAAAGACGTGGGGCACGATGGCGATGGCAGTGGCGTGTCGAGCTCCACACAATGGACAGAGGAAGATGCCAGCCAAGCTCTCCAGCCAGCAAGGAACAAGGAGAATGACGAGCATGGGCGGAGCCCAGTCGAGTGCCAGTGGGGGCGGCAAATGTAATTACAGCACAATGCAATTTAGTCAGTGAGCGAGGAGCTAAGGAAACCCGCTGCATGCCACGCGAACACCAGAAACACGGAAGCTGAAGTCGATAACGAGCACAACCTTGGAGGAGAGTCCTCTATAGTCCTTGCCGCTCTACACTTCGGAAACTATTCTCTATAATTTCCACTAATTTTTCAACAAATGAAGAAAGCGTTGCAGTTGAAACTTCCTACCAAAGAATCTTAATAATACTTTATTAAAATGGGGGCAGTTATTTCATTGAATCTACATCATAGTTTTTTCTTTCAAAATATAATGAAAGGATTCCCTTCTTAAGTTTATTACATTTTTATATTAGTTATAATCTCTTTAATTAAGTAGAGCTTAAATACTAAAAATGTTTCAAATGGTAAGCCTATTTATTAAAATTTCGTTAATTGGAATAAAAGTTTTGTGAAACCAAAGCAAAGCAAGTATAAAAGTTTCTAGCTTCTGTTTGGCAAAAAAAAAAAATCGCAACGAAGTTAATTAAGGATTCATATTTCCTTCAAATATTTTTTTCTTTATGTGCCATAACTTTAAGCAGCTTGTTTTGGCCAACTTTAAGATGCTCATTTTGCCCATGCTGGGTGGGAGCGGACGAAACTTTAATCATTAATGGGTATTAAACACAAACAATGCCCCGAAAAAGGTTGCCGGGCAACAGGGTACGTTCTGGAGGACTCACCGGAACGAGAAAACGTCGCACTTCCGCCAGGGCGTACGCGATCCGGGCATGAGCCTCCGCCGGAGCCGCAAATGTCGAAATCTCCACGTGCAGGTCCTCGAAGAGATGGGCATAGCGACTGTCGCCGCTGGCGCGCAGCTCCTCCTCCTTCCGTCGGTCCCGCATCGAGCCGCGCCCCAGTACGGCCATCTTGCACATGGTGTCCTCCTGCAGGCGCTTCATCGAGTTGCCTTTGGGGCCGAGCAGCTTTCCCACGAAATTGAACTGTCGCAAACGGAGAGAAAATGCAATGAAAATGTTTACCTCCATAGGAGTGGAGTGTGGGCTGTATGGTTATGTGGGTGGTGGGTTAGTTGGTGTTACCTTGGGATGATCTCGCACTGGCACCGCCACTTTGACGGCCACCTTCACGGGCTTGTCGCGTGTGATGTCCAGCATTTTGAGTTTTTCTGCAAAAAAAAAAAGAAGGAAAATAAGGAAATGCATTCGGTTAATGGTGGTGTAATTAAACGTGTAATTTAACTTTATGGCCCAGCCTGCCCCTGCGGGGTTTCCGAATGGACAAAAATGTCGTTCAGAGTAAAGGGAAATAAACAATTTAATGTTATTTTTTCACAGATACTTTGGCAACAAAAACATATTTAATAAAACAAAGTTGTTACTTTTATAAACAGCAAAAGAGCAACTAATAAAATAGTTTTGAAATTGAATTTCTTAAACAAGTCTGCCGACTTCTTGAACTTTAATTAAATAGAATGAGAAAATTCTCTTTGGAAAGCCAGATAATTTCGTTTATGTGCGAATTTAATGCAGTGAATAAATTTCACACTATTCACCCTGCTATCTGCCCTCATGAGTGTGCCGGCGACAGACGGAAAGTTCATCGGATTATCTCAAACTGACTTGTGTCGGCACCCACATCCTGGCTCGTAAACGCATCGGCATCCTTTACACCTTCATGTATCTCGTATCTAGCATCTCGTATATCTTGTATCTCGCTTGGTAGTGTCGCTTTGTATCTTTAGCTGCCCGCAGCAGACGTTGCGACATTTGTAAACATTTGGCGGAGCCTTAAAAACATCTGATGGGGTGAGTGTTGGTGAGGTGGCTGTGAGGATACATCAGTATCCTTCTCAGTTACTCTGTTTCTTGTACTTTGTAGCTTTCGCTCAGTTTCAGCTGTTTGTAACTAATTAAGCAAAATGCTTCTGCACACAGACACAAACCAAAGGACGAGGTGTTCGAGGAGGAGGGGCTGGGAATGGGGGGCAGTATGGATAAATCTGTTGACAGGACCAAACATGAAAACATTTTTGTTTGCTCTTCAGCTCAGGCTCAAGTCCTGGCAAGGACTCACGGGGACACACAAACACTCACAGGCCTACACACTCATAAACGTACGTGAAAGGCGAGAGAAAGCACACACCCACATTCGCACACACACTGCTTGAGATACACTCACACAAAGACATCGTCACTCATTAGCAGGCGAAATGGCTTTCTTAACACCTTTTGTCGTTGCCTTTTCCAACGGAATGCAACATTTGCATTGCCAGTGGGGATAATTTAGCTTTTTTATGGCTAAACATTTAATTTTTTTAATAAATTTTTAAATGCAGCAATTAGAAAAAATAAAATATTTTGAATTTTCTAATGAAAATCTGATTAAAAAAGTGTGTATCTTGGTCAGCACTGGGTAAAAACCCTGCCTGACACTTCCCCTTTTCTTGGCTATTAGGCCGCCACCCTCCCAGCCCCTTTCTGGGGGCAGACGGCCTTTCTGTTTCTCTGGCAGTTTCTTGTCAGTGGCAGTAACATGCATAAGTAGCTGGCAGTTGTCAGCAGAGTGCATTCTGATGGACTCGAGCCAAGGAGCCCGGTGGAAAGGTGGAAGGTGAAAGGTGAAATGGGGGCAGGGAGAGCTGCGGAAAGGAGGCCAGGTGCGCTATTTCAAGCGGCTGGAAAATGTAGATCTGTGTTAATTGTTTGGCATTGCAACGAGCATAATATTTATGATGGGTCGCCAGACATCGTCTTGGGGATAAACATTTTTGCATTTCTGCTTGATTAATTACGCTCATCAGATGGCTGTTAGACGCCTAAAAGGATATTCGTGTTCTCCTTCTGGCCGCTTGTCCCACAGAAATTAGATTAATTTCCATTTCATTCAAGGGGAATGCCAAATGCCAAAATACCAGCAAAAGTTTTGTTGTTTGCTGGGTCTCCCCCGGGCAACTAGGGCCACCAGGACCATCCTTGTCGTACTTTTCAATTAGCGGCATTTCACCAACAATTAATTTCGCTCCAAATAACTTTTCACTTTAATAAATTCAATTTTTCACCATAACGAATTGCTCTGTCTTTTATTTGTAATATTCTATGGGCATTTATTTTAATTGAATGATATTTTGCACAATAGTCGTGTCGGTGTTACTGATCGATTCACGCCGCTGGCAAAAATAACTTTGGCCATCTTGCATTTAAAGCGCCATTAATTGGCCTTTTACACAATGATTATGTAAATTTATTGATTTACCTGTCCCAATCGGCTCGGTTCGACGTTGCTCTGTAAAAGCAAAGGCAATAATAATAATAATTACTTTTCGCTCACAGCCATGACAATAATAATTATTATTTCTCTTGTCGGCCCGCCATTACCAACGCCATCGTTCCACTACCATTTAAACTTTCTCTACAGTTTCTGGTACGATTTGGCAGAAATTTCGGTTCCCGGACAGAAGGTGCGAGGGAATTTGCTGGCGTGGCCTAATCTCCACTAATTTATGGCCAGCACGGCCATTAACGTAATTAGGTATGCATTTCAGGCCAACGGACCAGGTGCAGTTGCCCCATCCACCTGGAATTCCCGCCTACATAATGGATGCAGCGATAGTTGGCAGAAGAGTCAACACCTTTAGAAAATGTGAGAAGGAAATTGGCTAATTGGGAGAAGGAATGCCGATTTTTTAAAAAGTAATACAATGTTTGGTTTATTAGTTTCTCAAAGTACTCTATTTTTAACACAGCTAATTTTTTGTTTTTAGCTTTCAACGTTTTTGAGGGAAATCTTTAATAAAAGTATCCTTTTTTATAGATTTTTTCAAGTGCACATCCTGGCTTTGGTTCAAACTCTGAATGGAAACCACTTGACTAAACAATTGATGGTGTTTATCAGATTTAAATATCAACTTGGCCGCAGCCACAGACTCAACTAACTTGCATTTCCTTCGGTCTTCCGTTTTCCTGTTTCCGCCTCCGCCTCCACCTCCGTATCCGTATCCGCTTTCCCCAAGCCACCAGCACCCCTTTCCCCTTCATATTTCTTCCCCGGAGGCAGGTTGCTAAACATTTGCTCAGTCACTGCAATTGTTTCCGTTTGCCACTTTTTGTTTCTGCTCAGAGTCTGTGTTTTCCCGATGCCATATTTTCCGCATTTTCCTTTAGCCTGCCGACTGCCGCCTGCCGCCTTTCGTTTGGCCTTTCCGGGTCATTTGCTCGTCCGGAAAAGCGGAAAACACTGTCCTGGGCCGCTGCCTACACCGGAGTCTGCTTCTTTTTTTTTGTTTGTCTTGCAGCCAGTCAGTAGCAGCCCTCTGACTTTTCCTTAGTCGGAGGCCGCTGCTGCCTTGGGGGCAGGCACTTGAGCTAACATACACCGCTGCCTGACCCGCCCGTCGCTCGCCGCCGGTGCCCCGGGTCCTGACCCCTGCACTGGGTCGGAAAATGCCTGGCAAAAAACCCTCTTCAGAGCGATGACGCTGTCTTGGGCATGATATATAACCCTTTTATTTCCTCAACCTCTCGAGCACCTGCCTGCACAGCGAGAAACCAAATATAACCATCAGAGGTGTCACAATTGTCCGTGTCCGTATCCGTGAGGGATTCCCAAAAGCAAAAGTTTTGAAATGTGCCAAAAATAGTGGCTTGGTTAGTGCATTTCAACGTATTTATATTCCTTCTGGTTGGCGTCACTGCAACCTGACTTCCTCTAAAATATGGCATTGCATGTCCTGCCTGAAATATATATTTTTGGCCACCTTTTTCGTGCCGTGTCGACTTAGGCATAGGTCACGTGGGAGTCAAGTGAATGAATGTATATATGCAAATTATTCAATTTCAAAGTGAAGAGATTCCCTCTTGTCCTTTGCCGGTCCATACCCCCCACTGACAGCTGACCGTTGGCCATTTCAATATGGCCCAAAGGGGCTGCCAGTTTAATCAACATTTTGTCAGTGTTAATGTCTTTGGCGATTTCTCGGCTCGTGGCCGAACCATTGATGGTCCATTTAAGCGATTTTCGACAGGACACCGATGATACCTCCCCCCCGTACGGCAACCCCTGCTAGGAAGGACTCCCTTTGGTTTAACATTTCCCCGGGGACGGATTACCACGGAATGCGTCTCGTTAGTCGAAACAAAAGTAAAAATAATCATAAAAAAAAGGAAACAAGAACCGACAACAAAACCAAAAAGTCAAGTTCTGCCCTTAAGCATACACGAGGCAGTGGGGCTCAGAAAAGGAGGCGGGGCCTGGGGAGAAAGTAAGGAGGAGGAGCTAAGCATCCGCTACTGCCTTCGCTGCTTGTTTATTATATCCCCTTTTTATGCCCGTTTCTCGGCTCTCCGCTTTGCCTCCACCCTGGCGACAATCTGTAATCCAATGTTGCCATTTTTTTTTTTTTTGTTTAAATTTCCAGTATTGCTGGGATTAGATTCAAAAGGGAATAGCAGTAGCAACAAAAAATCAGCTTTGATGGATATATCCCAACGCTTTTTCTTCTCAACGTAGCCATCCCCCTGGCACTTTTATTTCCAGTACTATTCTGATGTCTTTGTATTTTGTTCAGTTAAAGCCAAAGTCAAAGCGAAGAAAGTCCCCCGTTTCAGGCTAAAATTGAATTGAATTTTTGAGTTCAAATGAAAGGCAAAGAAGGACAAGAGCAGAAACGACAAATAGTTTTGTTTTCGCACATGACGCCATCGACTTCTGTGTGTTTATGATTAAATTCCCTTCCCCCAACCGCCATTTGCAATTCGCTATCGGTATCAGCATCAGCCAGTGTGACGGCGACAGTTTTTACGACGGATGCCAGGATGCCCGCTCGCTTTTATGTCCTTCCTTAACTTTTGCGTAAACAAGTCGAAAGTCGAAAAGGTGGAATAGCAGAAAAAAATCTAACACACATACACACCCAGTCACAGGCAAATAAAGGAAAGCAGACAAAGTCGTTTCTCGAGTGTGGGGTTTTCTAAATGCCCTCCAGACCATATAAATACTAAGGTGGAGATAGTAGTGGTGGTGGATGGTGGCTCTGCCTCTGTTTACCCCAGTGCCATGTTTGCTTTTTTTCTCCGTAGAACTGATTCGATTCGGTCTTATCCTGGGATATAGTTTGAAGTGACAAACTATAAGACCAAAAAAGTGCTTTAAGTGAAATAAACAAAAAACTCCAAGTTTCAAAGGATTTGGGTCTTTCAGACGGTTAGGCTTTCTTTAAAGAAAAAGACGTTGAATGATAATCCCAGCTCTCAGCCATCTATAATATCTTTAAAATCTTCTCAAGACTCTGAACAAAATTTAATCAATACTCTTTAGCGACAAATTCTCGACAGTTGCTGGCAATTATATAATCCACATATATGTACACATACCTGAACCTTTCAGGGACCTCTCCTCCAGCGCACTTAAGCCAGCTTTAGAATCCATCCTTTGTTGCTTTTGTTGCGGTTGACTGCAAAGTGAAAGAATGTGAATAATCTATATGAGCATGTAATAATAGTTTGAGGCCAAAGGGATTTTGTCCCTTTCAAGTTTTCAGCTAAGCCATTTCCCCCTCCCCCATCCCCAACGCTTCGATCCTTGCTAGCTTACCTCTGAGAGGCGCCACCCCCCTGCTGTGGCCCATCGGCCGACATCTTGCGGTAAGCTCGTGTAAAAAGCTTAAGGAAAACTTTGTAAAATATTTATCATAATGCAGCTGACAAAAACGCCCTAACATTGTAAATACTTATGAAAGTTGGCGGCGCCACAGTCGGCCCACAAAAAATAAGAGGGAATTTTGTTTCAAATCTGTTGATAAGTTTCATAATGAAATAAGCCAGGACAAAGTTGGTAGCAGTTTTTACGCATATCCCCGAAGACAATCGAAACTTGGCCCAACTAACCCCCGTGCCCCACACGAGAGGAGAACTTTTGGCAAATCTTTATGAATATTGATTGCAACTGGCCGACGGTAATGATGGCGATGCTGATCTCTGGCCTTTGTCTCTGTTTGCGGATTGAGTTTCAATATTGTCAATGTTTGGCTCTAGCTGCCATAGCTTTTATCCTCCCAGGCCGCACCACCGCCCACTCTCAGACCTCCGGGCATGTTGAAACCAAACATTTGCCCCATTTCGAATGTCGAGTATCGGTTTCCACCACAGTCACAGTCAGCAAATACTCGCAGTACTGCCGGCAAATTCGAATCGACATAAAAGACTCTCATCTTTCGTTCGTCCTTTTTTTTTTTTTACAAAACTGTATTCAAAACAAACTAAACTCATATCATTCAGAAAGATGTGATGAGTACTCCTGTGGATCTGCCGGAGCGTAAGTGGTGACCCCGATTCTTTGTGCTCAGGGATAATTGGCCAGCATGGCCCATTAAATTCCAGATAGCATCGGAGATCCCTCCTCCTAGCCAAGCTCAGGCCCTGGCTGGAGGTCTGGGCATAAAATCATAAAAAGCATTGCAATAGTCGTATAATTTTCAGTGCCATAAAACACTCAGTCACGCTGCTTAATTGCCTTTTGAAGATGATTTGAACTATTTGTTTGTGTGCCCGTTGTTGGCCAACTTTTAAATTAAAGCAGTTGAGCCACCTGGAAAATTGATGAATGCCCCGATAACGAGTGGAGGCTGGGCTTATGGTGGGGGTCTTGAGCGAAAGCGGGTTAAAGTTCTTAAAATTAATGACAGCTTAAGCGCCCCAAAATCTGCGCCAATGTTTGTTTTTGTGCCTTTGTTTTAGTTGGCGCTTTAGTCTTTATCCTGTGTTGTTTTTGTCTCCTTTTGCCATTCGTTTCAGCGTTCCGAGGATTCCCCCGCTTTTCGCAACTAAGTTTGACGGATTTGTGCACAGTTTCAGATTAATGCTGCGATTATTGTTTACCGTCGGAATTACGTACAGTGGAACAAATTGAATCATATTCTGGTTTATTTTTATATTTTTAAACTCTGTTTAGAAACTGAAACTCTGAACTAGATTTTTAACTCAAGTACCTTTCAAAAAGTTGTAGTTTAAAAACTTTTTTTACTCTAAAAGTTTAGCATTTTTTTGTGGCCTTTTTACTTCTTTTTAGTATCCTAGCTAACGATTTGGATGCTAATGTCATTATTCAATTTTATATTTTCGTTAAGGCTTCGAGAATGCTGACTCGTAAAATCTATAGCATACTTAAGTGGGCTCGTGGACTGTAGTCCCGTGTTTCCCTTCAAACAAATCAACTGTCTAGTATTTTCCCGAAGCTTAAAGGCTCTTTAGAACTGTTTTTCACTCTTTATTATTTATGCAGAGTCTTTACAAATTTTCCCAGCTGCTTTGTTTCTCGTTTCACTGTGCATTGTGTCTTGTGTTTCTTATGCAAAATTTAACCCAGTGTAGAGTAGGTCGGTTCACTCGGTCGGTCGCTGTGTTGGGATGGGTTGGCCGCTTGGCTGGTTTGCTTTATTCATTCCCGCTCCTGGAGCGCTTCATCCAAGCCCTGCACTCTCCCTCATCGACCTCTTTGCTGCTCTTACTCGACCGCTCTCTGTCGCACTCGTTTGTCTTTGTATAGCTCGGCACGCACGATTTAAGGATAACGAGGATGGAATGCAGGAAGCGAGGCAAATATTTACACAGTTGGATGATTTAGATAAAGAAGACATGAACATGAACCATAAAGGCGAAGGAGGAACGAAGGCGACAGTGACTGGAAAGGGAGAAGGACACTAGAGAGTGGGGAATGAGCCAAATAGGATCGGCAAGAAAGTAAGACAGGGCGCTGGGAGGGTCTGGGGGTGGTAGGATAAACCCCCAGACATTATGAAAACTGGGACGGACATTATAAGGGGATAAAGAAATTTGAATACAATGAAGGAGATTTCGGTGATAGTCGAGAGAAGATTGCCGAGCGCCACTTCATGAAACATGAAATTGTAATCCGAATTAATGGCATTATTTTGCAGGAAGTCGTCCTGTATCCTGTTGCCCGCACTGCCTCAGAAAATTAGCATGCATTACCGCTGCCAATTGCCAAACGGCTGCAATTGAAGACAATTAAGTTACCGAACCATCTGCCTTTGATTTTAAAGTCCGATGTGGCGTGTGCTGCCTGCCTCTTTGGTATTCAGAGCAATGCTCACCTGGATAATTTATTCAAGCGAATATTGCAGTCACAGTCAACAGCAACAGCACCCAGCAACATCAAAAATAAAACAACAAAAATGTGTAGAAAAAAAGGAATAAAAAATGAAAACCAAATGGAAATGCAAATACCTACAACACAAACAAACTGGAAGCACACACTCCCGCCACACCACGAACACAACCAGCATGGGTGAACGAAAACTCTATATTTTCCACACCAAATCCACACCATCTACTACACCCTCTCAACAGCCCTGGAATATCCTGGCACCCTGGCATCCTGCAGCCGTTGCTCATCCTGCGAAATGGGCCCACTTGAATTCTGTATCTGCATTTTCCCAGCTACGTGTCAAATCCGTCTAAAAGCCGAAGGGCTCAGCCCAGTCACCCCGCCATACAGCCAGCCAACAAGCCCAGCAGATCTGCATGTAAATGAATGTATAACATATTTCAGCAGATTCGCACAACATTTGAATTATTTGGGCATTGTGTCAACATTTTCAGAATCCATAAATTCCAACCAGCCGATGCATAGCGAATCAAGTGCACAGACCCTGCCACAATGCGACACCATGCCATGAGGTCCTTCAACAATCGGAACGGCATCAAATCTTTCATCTTCCATCTAAAGACCAGCACCATCCAGCAGCACCCTTTATACTTTTTCATCCTTTTCGCTTCGTTTATTTGTTTGCAACGAATTTATTTGACCAGTTGGTCAATATTAAAATTCGAAAATGAAATATTCAAAATGCCTCAGGGCTGCTAGCAGAGATGCTTGAAACCCCCCGATCCCAAACCAGCAACCCCCAATCCTGTGAGCCACCACCCCTTTTTCTGTTCGTGTTTGCCTCCTAAATGCTAGAGGAATTCCTGACCGGAAATTGTTTCACAACCGTTGGCCAATTAATTTCAAAAAATAATGGAACACTTTTTCTCGCAACCAACCGAGCACTGGAGGGTAAAAAAATATATACTTCAGATTTATTGTTTCAATTTGGTTTAAAAAAAGAGAATAACTTTCTGATTTCTGATTTCTTAAATTAAAATTCTAGCTAAATTTATGAATAAAGGATCAAAAATAAGCAAAGGATGTCCAAAATCTACTAAGAGAATTTAAATAAAAATTACTCATACGCACTGTGGCACAATTTAATTGAAAACTCTTTGTTTAAAAATCAAATAGTATCCATGATGTTTGAAAAAATGTCAATACAATTTTTTTTATAGAGTGTACCAGACTATAGAATTGCATTTTGCGTAGAAAAAAATAAATAAATTCTAGGGTAAATGAAACTGAATAGCTTGTGGAGAATTTGTTTATTTAATTGACTGTGAGAAGCACTCAATCTTTGGCCAAATGAATTCCTGAAGCTCCGAGTGCGGACCTGATTTGATGTATGGTTTGTGCAGAGCGGCGGAATCGGCAGAAAGCCATTATGGTGTCATTGATTAATCGTTGTGGTTCTATCACAGCTGCATAATCGGATATACCGCAGTGATGCACAAACATAGCCAATGCATTCCAGAAATTGATTTACATTGAAGCGGGAAAGGGGTTGATTGGTGGGTGGTCTGGAGAGAACACATTTTAAATCTGAAAACTTTGCCATGGTCAGTGTTAAACATTAATCATATACCTAATCTAGAATTCATGACTTTCTCCCCTTTCTAATGAAGCACAAAAATAGTTACCCTCAAACCCTGCAGATCCTGAGGGAATTTCGAGGGCATCTGACCCAGAAACTTTGTCGTTTTTAAGCTTTGGCCTGCGTCCCCCTTCAGTGTTCACTAGATGAAAAACAAATTCATATACGTGTGCCAAATATCCATCTAAACGAATATATACACATATATATTTATAATTCGGCCACAAAAAGTAAAACTTTTTCCCTTTATTCCCAAATAAGTTGGCCGCAAACCCAGAAAAAGGCAATGCCAAAGGACCTTTACGCCCTCGGCATTCCTTCATAAATAAATTTATGATTTCAAATTCCATTTCCCTTTTCTCCGTTTTGGTTTTGGTTTTGAGGTAAAGGTTGAGGTTCAGGTTTGGGGTTCAGTTTTTTGGGGTACTTACGAGGGAGGGAGCGTCCCAGTCGCATTGACTTAACAAATTAGTGTTCATCAATAATCATCTGGGTAATAATTTATCAGAATTTTCTTTATTTGGCCAGGTCTTGGCGGAAATCACCAAATAAATGGCTTTCCACTCTATTTCCTGCCTGGCAGTCCCCCGCGCTTTCATTTATTGCCGCTGCTGGTGGTGATGAGAGTGAGATAAATCAAAAGCAATTACATTCATTCATTCTCGTTTATATGACTGCTATTCCCTCTATATACCGTACTGCCCACTCCCCAGGAATTCCATTTTGGCCAACAGCCTCGAGGGGAATTAGCCCAGTTGCTGGACAGAAAGCACACAGACCCCAACACACGTTCTCCCCGCTGGCTATTTGTATTTCTGCTTTAGCAAATACTTCTCCCGAAGCTACCTGAGCCACTCGAGTCGCATTCCAGGTGAATAATTCAGTTACTTTTGCCGAGCCGTAGCCAAAGCCATAGCCATAGCCGTAATTAAGTTGTAACAGGTGTGAAACATCCCCACATTTCATACACTGCCGAACTGGTAAACGTGTCTGGCAAGCTGAAACTCAATATTTACCCAGTTAAGAATAAATTAAGGCCAGATTCCTCCTCAATTCCTTCGGTGCCTTTGATTCCTTAGCCTTAGTCAAGTAACTTTTAGCCAAGTCTGGTCTGGTATTGGCTTAGCAGAGTTTCGGTTTAATTTTAATCCGGTATGCCAGAGCACATTTGTCTCAATTTCACAGTCACTTCAATTTTCACTTTGCCAAATGACAAATGCCCGGGAGCGCTTATTTCATTGCTTATTCATACGCCATACGCCGTAAACATTTCGCACGGTTCCACGGAGCGCGCAAATTCATTGGGGCCTGATTAAAGATGCATGCCTAAGGTGCGACGCCTTGTTTCGCTTTTAATTTCGGTCTCACCACCCATCAGACACCCCTGCCGTCTGCCATTCCCCTGCACAGCTCCCGCCCTCCTTGTACCAGAACCGCGAATGTCCTGCCGTGGGCCGTGGGCTGTGGGCTGAGGATCCTGTGCCGTATACCGCTTCAAGCCCGGGGAGATAATGTCATCCGATTTGGGGCTCCCCCAGAAACCGAGTTTCGTTACGGTTAAGCACTCCACAGACGGCACCCACAAACGGCGACAACAAACTTTCACTGACTAACTCAGATCCGGAGCGGAGCGGGTCTGCAGGAGTAGGTTTTTCGGGGTAGTGGTGGTGCGGTGGTGGGCTGGTGTGTTGGGTTAGAGTGTGGTTATACCCCAGCACTTGACACAAGATAAACAATTTGTCTCTCTGCGCCACAGAAAAAAGGCAAAGTGGGCAGCTTGGCGCCAAACACCTGCAGGTGGAGAAATGGTCCTCCAAGCTCTCAACAGTCAGACAACAACAGTGTTCCCGTGGACGATACTCCGCATTCCGGAGATGGTGGTACCGTTCCGTTAAGAGCCCGACGTGCAACTGATTCCATCAGCAAAGGCAACCAGCGTTCGAGGAGCCACAGAACCCAACTGACAACTGTGGATGCTGATTCTGCGCAATCCTCTCTCTCCCCCAAAGGCATCGAATACTGGGAACAGTGTTCACAGGATAATGTGGTCCAGATGCCTGATGCTTCGGCATTTCCGTTATACTTTAAAATGCACGCTGCTATAATTACTTTCGGATTAGCCAGGTGGATAAATGGGGAGCACGGCAAGACATTGCTTTGGATCTCTCAGGTTTTGAGCACAAATTCAAGATTATTCCGGTTGGAGTGATGGGTTAAGTCTTCATTTCTTGATGGAGATTCCTTTGCCCTTGTTGTAATTTTACCATCGAAAACTAGTTGTCTGAAACTGCATTTTAGCCAATTTTCAGACCGTGGCCAATCAAAACTTATTAATTAAAGTTTTGTGTTTTTGGGCCACTCGGGAATAACCGCGCGGGAGTTCTAATTCCCACGCGCGTGGCGAACAAGATGATTCATTTGGGGATTTCGGAATAAGATGTTTTAGAATGGAGTATTAGTATTAGATCTTTCTCTGATGGATTCTAAACAGAAACATTTGCATGATGTTCTGATGTCTCCAACTAGATGGTTCGTAGTTCCTTTGACAACTTAATAGTCCTCAAGAAAGACCACATTTAAGATTCCCATTTCGACAAAATCGATTGATCTGCGAGTGGGAAATGGGCGGTTTTCATTGTGTTTCGGTTGCTGCCTTTAACCGAAGCCCAAGCAAATTTACATTCAAGTTTTCGGCACTGGGAAAACAAAAAAAAAATTGGAAGGAAGAGGACCAGGACGAGGAAAGTGAATTGCCAAGAGGAAGGAGAGAATTGGAACTGCATACACATATATATGGTAGAATTTGAGGAGGGAAGAAGGTCCTTCCACCGTGGCCGCAAATTCTTCTCGCTCTTCGTGGGGCTCCTCCACCTTCCCTCTAAAATGCAGCACCCTTGTTTATTGTAAACCGGGTTGTGTCCTGCACTGCGTCCTCGTCCACGGCCCATTCCCATTCCCAGACCTCCAATTTACTCGAGCTGGTCCAGCGCCGAATACAAAACGCCTGTGGGCCCTATTTGGATACCGTTCAATGCACCAGGGACTTTTCCCATGTATGACAAACAAACATAAACATTGTGTTCTGTGTGGTGTTGTGGGGTGTGGATGTGGGAGTGGGCATGGAACGGAGGCCCTAAAGTATAGCATCCTGGCCAAGGATATGTTTGCGTGGCGGACTCTAATTAAAATTTGTGCCGCTGGCTCTCGGCTGCAATACTTGCTAACTGTTTTACGAGTTTATAGCCAGGCAGCAAGCAAAAAAAAACCAAATTACATAAAAATGCTGGTACATGTTCTGCAAAAAATGCTAAACTCGAACGGAAACTAAACAAATGTCCAAGGGCTGAACAAAAAAATGTAATAAACTCTCGCCCCCGGCGATCTGTGCCCGTAATGCATGACTGAGCTGGAAAATCGAGGGAATGGCACACCGGGCTACACTCACAGCAAACCATGTTATCCATGGACTTAAGTCCAAGATCAAATAGCCTGGCAGCTCTCCGGCCATTGAAGTGTGTAATTTGACTCCATTACTGGGCCATCTTGGAGCATTAATTGTGCATTGCATGACGTTTAAATGCATTTAACAGTCGACGGATATTCAGCCTGCTGACATTTGTTTGATGTGCCGGAGAGTAAGTACGTCGTACGCCCTACGTACATGTTGGCATTTCCGATGCACGAGTTGCCAAGATGCGGAGCAGAAAACATGACCTGGGACTATGTGGGGGGGGTGGAGAGACTAGTCTCCGGACAAGATGCAAAGTTTTAATTGATTTCCTGGCCCTGGGAGATGGATACTCCCGGACTGTGCCACAGAGACGGAGATGGAGACACTTTGCCAGGCCAGGCAGAAAATCATAATTCAACAAGCGAATGAGAGCGGAGCAAACATGTCGGCAACAATTTTATGCCCCAAATGGGGGAGCTGCAAAGTCACAACACTTTGGTTCGGTTTTAGAGCTCGTGTTTTGGCTTAGAAGTTTGGTGCCGCCGGAGCTCGAGCAACTAAATGCCAGCCGTAAACTTTGGCTTTAGTGCAGTGCATTCCGCTTGCCAAATAAAAGGATACAAAGTGTTTTGTGTTTGCCATTGCCCTGTCCCTGTCCCAGCCTCAGTCCCCTGGAAAGGCATCAAAAGGAATCTCCTGTAGGCAGGACCTGGGAGATTGTGACAACATATACGTATAAACTTTTGTCGGAGCACTCGAGCACTGCCCTGCGGAATGGGTATCCGGAGTAGGCCTAGGCATTGCCATCGACTTGGCTGTATGTGGATGCAACATTGAGTGGCGGGAAAGCCAAATGTGCCATTTATAATTTAAGCGGGATTAAAGTTTGCTACAATGGCGCTACTTGCCACAGAACATGCCGCGCCTCAGTAAACTTTTCCTAGTTCTTTTCTTTTCTTCTTTTTTTTTGAAGCTCTTGTATATAGTTGTTTTTTTGGTTTTTGTTTTGAATTCCCCGAAAGGAGACGGCTGGCAAGAGTTGGCTGCAAATTTGACATCCGCGCCCCAGACATGGTAAAGCGGATTAGGCAAGTGGCCCCAAGACAAGCTCCACGGAGCGTAACACTTCCCGGGTTCGGTTTCTTCGGAAATTTCTACGAAATTGAGGAAGCACGCTTAAATTGCCAACAGACTTTGAGGCGGGAAAACTGACAAATTTAAGCCTTTTGATTTACTCGATAGCTAAAAGCTTATTGCCTAGTTTAGATGGAATAAATTAAGGACCTTTTGATTGGGGCTTTCAGACGGGGCTTAGTAGGTCTATTTCCGAAAGCTTAAACCGCTTATAAACACCAAGTTTTCAACCACAAAATGTTAAGGTTTCAAGGGTCTTAGGTTCTATAACCTCATAGTGGTGGCTGAATCTTTAGCCAAATCTCCACACTTCATTTGTGAAATAGAAACCCGGAAAAGCCCGGAGCTGACTCGTATTTTTCATCATCAGTATGACCAAAACTGCATTTTCCTTTTGGCAATGCGATGGAGATTTTGAAGCAATTGCCGCCTCGCTATCCAGTTTCCACGTATTTTTTCATTGCCGCTCTGCTTTCTGGTTTCTGTTGGAGGAATGGCTGAAAAAAACAAAAGCAGCGAATTGAAAGCGGCCAAAAGCAAAAACAGAGAAATGCAGAAAGTAGAAAGTAGAGAAAGAGCCTGCCAGGCAAGGCAAGGCAAGGCCTGGCAGTAGTGCAATTTCGCAAATTGTCTTGGAAAATGGCGAAAATGCTTTTCCAGCAACCAGCCATCCAGCCAGCTAGCCAGCGAGCCACGAGAAACCAGAGAGCCGCACACCGCAAGCGGGTGGCATAAGCGCTGGGAAATGCCGCCGGCAGTTGTTGGATTAATTATGAAAAATCCCCCCAAAGGAGGGCAGTGGGTGGATCCGGGGACTGAGGCGACTGTGAGAATAATGGTGGGAAATGCAACCTGGCTGTCATTTGGCACAAGCAACCCCGTTCGTGTTGTGTTTCGGGGGTCAGCAACTTAATTGTCTGCTAAGTGTCACAGTGCGCACGAAAAGTGTACGGCTAGCAGCGTGCTGAGTGCTTGAGGGGCTGAGTCCGAGAGTCACCTAGTTAGAGTTCCTGACTCCTGACATGTGCCACATGCAAGCTCACATTCCCCAGCATTCATGTGGGCTAATTTGTTGGATACTCGCAGTTGTGGCACTTTGGTCTAATCAAAGTTATCGAAAGGCCTCGACTGGCCAGGCCTCTCAACGAATGCCCAATGGCCACTACAAAGCTGAAAGTTGGCAATTCAAAAACCGCATTACCCGGCCACCCGAGCTGCAAATCGCCTTTGAGACGATAGCCCGACAATTGCCACTAAGCCAGGCCAAGAGGCAGCTCTCCACAACCTCCCAGATGCCTGGTTCCGTAGTGTTCCGGCCCAGATCTGCTTCAAAATTCAGTGGCTTTGATTTTCAATTACCTTTACTTGATTCATATGCAATGAAAGCCTGCCACTGCCAACTGTCCGACTGACATCCACATCCACTTTTGCACACCCATCCATTCCCACCCTTGGACTCACACACGCACAGGACTCTTCAGGACACAACGAAAAAACTATACGGAAAATAAATTAAATAAGAACTTTTGGATTTTTAACAATCTGACCTTTCTATTGACATGGAGTTTGAAACTTTAAGTTGAGCCTTGAATTTTGAATTAAAAGATGCATGAAAGTGAGAGAAATTTCATATTTAATCATTTTATTTAATGAAAAAGGATTCCGGATAGGGGCTATAGAAACTTAAGTATATGATGATGACCTATATAACCTATAAGTATATGACCTAAATGACCTAATTATTTCTTGTCATAGTTTCTTTATTTTAAACTCTTTTTTTTCCCCCAGTGCACTTGTTCGTATTCATCCTCTGATGTGTGTACGTGTGACCAGGCAGGCTGAGGGGCGAACTGAGTTCGGGGGCAAAAAATAAAGGATGGGCCTGGGGCCGTTTCGGCCTTGGGCAAATATTACATCCTGCCTCGGACATGAATGATGTGCGCTTTGTGGAGAGCGCTGTAAAACACTTAACGGAACGAAGGCAGCGCTGCAGTGATAAGGGAGCCAAGGGGGTCCGAGGGTATCCAAAGGGGAGCCAGTTGGGTTGGATGGCTGGATGATGTTAGGGGGCAGCGGGCAGTGTATGGGCATTGATGAAGTGCTCGGGCGGCTGAGGCGGCAACTGAGGCGACGGCTGCTCCCGGTTGCGGTGGCCAGCGGGAATAATACACTCCATTGAGTCCGGACCAAACACTTCACACTCTTCTCCAAATTACCGAACGTAGCCTTGATTAACTCAGTGCCCGGTGCGGTGTGAGGTCCGAAAATTTATGGAGAATGTTAAATTGGAATGCATTCCCTGGAGCGGCAGC